GGCATCAGGGTGCCTCAGGGGAAAGTAGGGTGGAGGCAGTAAAGACCATGACTGCCAACTTCACAGTTTTGCCTCTGACCAGCTTTATTACTCACATATGCAAAGCTGAGCCTCAGGATCTGGATGCAAACTCACTGAGCTCTTCTGTAGCATGCCAGCACTAACCGAGCCTTCTGTGTCTCCAGGGAGGGCTCAGAAAAAGTGTGATCTTAAAACACAAATGTAGACCTATACTAGTGAGGCTGTGCAGTACAGTTCACATGAAAATAACTTAGGACCCCAGTGATCACTTAATGACAAACCTTGGGCTAATTATTTACCTCATGGAGCTTTGGGTTCCTCCTATTTTGCATGGGGATAATATAGATTTTAAAGTTTGCTGTGAAGATAAGTGAGATACTTTTTCAGAGTGTTCCTAATTCATATTTAGCATTATAGAATAGTTAATTTCCTTCTTTCTTTTTCAGTGTCCATCATGTGCCTTGTCTTAACTTGGATGGAAGTTCTGCAGTGTTCCATGGGTTAGTGCATTACAATCTCTTTCATGTCTTACTGTTTACTATTTGAAACTACAAGGTTGTCTACGGTAGAGCAGAATGTTTCCATGAACCGCATGTGGCAGTTGATAAACTTATTAATAATTTGGTGTCATGATTTTTTTAGAGTTTAAAAAATTCAATAGCATTATTTTTAATGAGTTAGATTCTAAATTGTTTTAAACTATTCTCCCTTTTATTGAAAAGTATACCACCTAAATATAATGTATTTTTGTCTGAAAATTGTTAAGCCAATTTTGCATATACTTTGTTACATCTGCTAATGATATTAAGTATTGTAATAATAAAAATACTAATTTTTAAACTTCAAAAGAATAAACAAAAATATTTATTTAGGAGGGAGGGACATTACAGTTTTCCCAAATCAGAGAACTCACTTTAAAAAGGGGGGAAAGGGTGTTATTTCATATTCTTTCTCAGATTGAAAGATTTGGATAAAAAAAAGTTAATCAATTTATCTATTTCTTTTCTTTTTGTTGTTGTTGTTAATCCTCACCTGAGGATATTTTTCCATTGATTTTTAGATTGGGTGGGAGGGAAGGGTGGTGGGGGGGAGAGAGAGAGAGAGAGAGAGAGAGAGAGAGAGAGAGAGAGAGAGGTGTGATAGAGACAGACTGATTGGTTGTCTCCTACATAACCCTGACTGGGGCTGGGGACTGAACTGGCAACCCAGGTACATGCCCTTGACTGGGAATCAATCCCGAGACCCTTTGGTCCATAGGCAAACACTCTAACTGCTGAGCCAAACCAGCCAGTGTTCACTTTATCAGTTTTCTAAAAATGATTTTTTTTGTTTTGTTATATTGTTCAGGCTCTATATATTTATAAAAAGTCTAATGATTTAGGTGATTTTTTTTATCTGTGGATAAGACTATTTCATTACTTTTTAAGGTTTTTTTTTTCTTTTTTTCTTTTCACATTAAAGTGCCTGGGAGGAGATAAAATTTGGTTTCAAATTATTGTACTAAAGATTACTGTCTGCCTTATAATTTTGGCCCTTGGGGTTTAGGGATTCTTCAATATGCTAAAGTATGATGTGGCCATTACATTTCTAGATTTAAAGGTTTATCTAATATTGAATAGGGGGACATGTTGGGATTGGGTAAAGTTGTCATAACATCGTTCTGTTGGGCTCTCTTTCCTTGATAAATACTAACTTCCCTCCCTGAGGTGCAGGTTGTGATGAGGATTCCGTGGATAACATAGGAACTGGGCAAAGTACCATTGGGCCATGTGTTGAAATATGGTGGCCAAAAGGTATGTCACAAAATTAAATTGTGATATTAAGCGAAAGTATTTTTCACCCCGTTGGTAAATGATGTGAGACTTAGTTTTACCTTCTTGAACTATAATACATTACAGATCTTTGTATTTCCTAAGTTATTCTCTTCTACTTAAATTTAAATTGCAGGAATGGTCTGCAAAGACCCTCCTGTAAAAGTAGTTTGTGTTTCTGTTTTCAAAGAACAGCAGTGTTGTAGACCTTTTCCTTAAAGATGACTTGGAAGGTAGGATGCTGGTTGTCCTAATGATGATTTATTCTAAAATTTCTGTTGGTCTTGGCAAAAACAGCCTCAAATTTAAAATAGCAGCCTGAATTTATAGTAGGTGATTTTAGTATTTTAGTCTCTAAATTAAAAACATGTCATGGAATAAACAAATTGAATAATGGTTTAAAGGGCTTCATTGGCCATAGTAGTGCTTAGTAAGTAGTTGTTGACTGGCCTGTTCTGGTTACAAGTCAATGAAATTTGGAGGGATACGTCAGAACATTTAGTACTGGAAGAGCAAAACTGGAAAACATCTCTCCTTGTTTATAGATCAGAAGTGCCGAATATTGCCTACTTCCTTCTGTTACAGTTTGGACCTGCTCTCTTTCAGCAAATCTGCTGATCTGCAACCTAGCACCTCTCTGATAAAAGGCTCCCATGTCTCAGAGTTTCCCACAGACTTCATACTGCAGTTACCTTTTTTTGATGTTGTTTAATGGCATGAGATTTTTAGCTGCAGGGGAAAATATTAGAAAGACAGCAGTGACAACATGAGTTTCCAAAATTCTGTGAAGTCTGGTTCTAAATGAGTAAGTTGGGGACATTTAAACTATTTTCTGGTTCTATTTCCATTTATATTCTCTTGATTTTACTGAAATAGAACCACTGATTGAGAGGCTGGCTGGAAAAAACTGAGGTCTTGATATTCCATAAACAGTGTCTTAGTCTGTTTGGGCTGTTGTAACAAAGTACCATAGACTAGGTGGCTTATAAACAACAAATTTATTTTCATAGTTCTAGAGGCTGGAAGTATGAAGTCAGAGTGGCAGCATGGTCAAGTTTTGGTGAGAGCTCAGACTTCTAACTTCCCATACCCTTGTGTGGTAGAGAGAGAGATAGCTAGCTCTCTAGTCTCTTCTAATAAGGACACTAATCCCACTCTCATGACCTAATAATCTCCTCTCAAAGCCTCACTCCAAATACTATCACACTGGGGATTAGAGTTCAACATATAACTTTTATGGGGACACAAACATTCAGTTTATAACAAGCTGATTTCTGCTCTTTCTACTTTAGGATATCGGGGAATGCAGAAGGGACACATTTTGACAATATTTTCATCAGAAAACTTAAGAGAAATGTGTTTCAACTACTGAAAATGTATTAAATGCGACATGCGTATATCCATTGAATGCTTACTATGTGCAAGGCAGACATGGGTTTTGCCCCGATAGAGCTTCCTTTTCAGTAGCATCATCACTATAGAAAATCGGACAGTGGTCTCTTTAACCCTCCTAAGAAGCTTAATAGTAGGTTCCACTAGCAGGGAAACTATATGTTAGACTGGAGAACAATTGAGAGAATTAGAATGTTGGAGGAGTAGGCAGGAGTGGAGGGGAATAAAAAGAAATGTGTGCTTAGTGAGTAGAGGTAGAGATAGGGAGGGGCAACCAGCAATTGTGTTGGGAGCCACTCAGTGGCCCAGACAGGCCAGCCCTGAAGTATACACATTGCCCATTATTACAACATATTGCACCACTTAAAATGTAAGATCCTGTCCCCACCTAACGCGTCAGGGAGCTGATATTATCAGTTTTGGCTAGTTACTCAGTCGAGTTGCTGAGAGAAAGCAGCAGGATTTCTAACTGCCAGTCTAGACTATACTTTCCCCATTTTATGGCTCATTATAAAAACATTTGTGCTGAACTGTAAGCCGATAAGTGCCAACTGGAGTCAACTCACTTGAGAGGAAAATTATTTATGATTACAATTTGGCTGCAAGCTTTTTTTTTTTTTTTTTTTTAGTGTTTCTGCTACCCTGAATCAAGAATTAAAATGAGCAGGATCAAAAATTGCATTTTCTCACCTCTGTGGAAATGGTATTTAGTAAATTCAATGGACCACAATAGATACTTGTCCTCAGGACACATCCAAATAGCTACTGCTGAGCTTTTCCCTAATCATACAATGTCTTTGCTGCCTAACCCATCTTTTCATTAAACACAATTCTCAATAAATTTTTTCCTTTCTTAAAAAAGCCTTTCTGGTCTGTCTGGGTTATGTATTGACCTATTTATTCTGTGTGTGGGTGGTTTCTGTGACTACTTCTGGCTCAAAAATTTAATGACTGAGTCTAAATTTTCAGCTCTGAGCATAATGGAAATCCTTACCAAAATGCATATGCACCTGTTTTACCTCCAAAGTCCTCCTGAGTTTGCATATCTGTGGTTGTTTAGCTCAGTAGATTGGATTGTGTAATGAGGTCTAGGTTATGGTTTTGATGCTTAGTTTGGTGCCCGTTAGCACACAATGTCCCACAGGACTGACTCTATTCTGAACCTAGAGAGGTGCCCAGCAAATGTATGGCCATGGTCCTGGAGGACCAGATGAGAGAAGGAAGGCGAATCAGAATAAATCTGTCACCATGTAAACAGCACAGCCTTAAGCCTTCTGGATGAGGTGTCTCATCTTGATAGCAACTTCTTTGCATACGAATGTGAGTGCATAAATATGCGGTGGATGCATGTGCAAATTTTTAAAGTGAGAACTTCACAGGTTTGGGCTAGTCCCAGTGAGCAGATTAAACAAAATTGCCATGGTGCTGGTACACAGGTGGAGTTTCCATAGAGTTAGGACACTACTGCTCACTTTCCTGCCTCTTCAGCCATGGAAAAAAACAAGCTGTAGTTTTCTTCATAAACCATTGTATAAATGACTCTGTAGGCCCAGAGTAGTCAGATCCAAACAACTCTGCAGAAAGGTCTTCATGGAGAAACCAGTTATTTGGCCAACATCGGGGATTGAGCATATACCTTCTGGTTGGTTACCCCACGGAAAGAAAAGAAAACAAAATAGAACATTCTTGCCCTTTAAAGACTTAGGGGAAAGAACTTCAAAACCCATGAGAAAGATACAAATAAGTCATCAATGGAAATATAAAAAAAATATTTACCTAAATAAAATCAGACACAAGTAGCCTCATCAAAGGGAAGCTTCATGCATGAAGTGATTCTTGAGCAGAGTTTTGAAGTTGAAGCAAGTTGTACCCAATGCAGTATAGTAGGAAGGATGTTCCTGAAGAGAGGTAAGACATGAATGGTGTTTACTGGGTGTGTTGCACAACTAGAGCACAGAGCGTGAGCTGTGGAAATGCATTTCACCAGTACCATTGTGTGTTCCATCTTAAAACCAGCCAAACAAAAATCTCTTCTCAAACTTAACAACCCTTTATAGCTAGTGGTGCTGTAATTCCCTCATGAGGGCTGTTGAGTACACATATCTCTGGGTCTCTTTCTGGACATGTGGTAAAGTTGTATTTCTCTGCCTTGTCTGGCCACGTGACTTGCTTTGGCTAGTGAAATAAGAGTGAAGTGACTGGTACTGCTTCCAGGAGAAAGCACTTAATTGTTCTTAGACAGCAGTTCTCTCTTTTTCTTGTTGCAACAATTGTAAATGTGTACTTTGAGTGGAGCCTACTGTGGTGAGCAGAGCACCCTGATAATCTGAATTAGACATGTAGCACAATGAAAAACAAACCTTTGTTGTGTTGAGCCACTGAAATTTGAGAGTTGTTTCTTCCTGCAGCATAACCTAGTCTATCCTGGATGATTCAAATGTTATACTCACATTTTCTCCCTATCTGGCCTTTCAGTCACTTAACTCCCTACACTCTGATATTTACCTCTAACCTTCAAATGAAGCTGTGGTGGAAAGGTTACAGAGTTGCCACAAGATGGTTTCAGGCTTTAGCTCACTGTACACCTTTGCTGTATTTAACACTGTTAACCAGTTCTTTCTTAAAACTCTTTTCTTTGGCTCCCATGACATCACTCTTTCAAAGCACTTTTCAGATTATTGATTACAATTTTTTTTCTTTATTGATTTTTAGAGAGAGAGGAAGGGAGTGGGAGAGAGAGAGATAGAAACATCAATGAGAGAGAACATCGATTGGCCGCCTCCTGCATGCCCTTCACTGGGGATCTGGCTCATAACCTGGGCATGTGCCCTGACCAGGAAATCAAACCAGTGACCTACCTCTTGGTGCATGGGTTAATGTTTAACCACTGAGCCACACCAACTGGGCAGATTATTGATTATGGATTTCAGGTATATAACTCAAATAAATCTCATTTACTCTCCAAGTTTTTAACTAATATATATGTAGTTAATATGCTGGTGACTATTAAGTATGTGCCTCCTGCTCCAGTACATGCCCTGCAGCATAGATTTGTACATATAAAGGTCATTCAAAGGCAACATGTCCACAACTGAATCTATCTCTCCTCTCAGACCGGATAATTTTTCAGTCACAAAATTATTAACTGGGAATCTTATTTCTCTCTGTTTCAGTGATGGCTCCCCAATACATTTTGTGACCAGATGTTATCAGTTCTGTTTCTAAATTTCATCTTCCTATATCTTTCTTTTCACATTCTTCTCCCATCATTAATACTCCATGTCCTCATCATTTATCTACCAGGTTTGTTAATAGCTTTTGGAATGGTCTTCCCCCATTAATCCATTCTCCATGGAACTTTTAGAGAAATCTTTCTACAATACAAAAATTTTCATATTTATGTTCTCTTACTTAAAATATTTGATGTCAGCTCATTACATTAGAATTCAAATATCAACTCTTTGCAGGGCTCTTGTTAGCTGTCCCCTATGTAACTGACTGGCTTCATCACCTGTTGCATGTCCTTTACACTCCAGACACGCTATTTCTCTTTCAGTTCCCTGAACCACGTTCTCTCTCTCCTCTATGTCTTTGTACATGCTGTCCCCTGAATATAGACTTTATTCACTTAGATAATGTCTACTTTTTATTTCAAAATCAACCTGATCATTATCTCTCCTAAAAAGTCTTTCCCATTCTTCAGATTTGGATTTTAGAGGTTTTTGTCTCCAAGGTCCCATAGCACTTAAAACACTGGTGGGAAACCATGTACATACCAGTTTTTCCTCTAAAGCTGTATGTTGCTCAATAGAAGCCCGACTTTCATCTCTACATCCCCACATCTCTCAAATGCCTGACATGCATTAGGTAGGCAATAAATGGTGAATGAATTAACCAACCGATGAATCTGGAAGGCCATAACGATAATCTTTGCTTTTAACTGGAGAACTTTTGGGTGCCATTATAGACATTTCTGAAGGTAGCAATATCTAAATGATATTTGCAGAGGGTAATTAGAAAGGAAGGGAGAAATAACCTGAAATTTTCTAGAGATGGTGTGAAGTTTGTTTTTGATAGTAAGAATGGGAAGAAATGAAAAGCTGTAGGACTATGGTTTTGGGCTCCCAGAATTTAATTTTTAACAATTCTCCCTGTAACTCAGGCCTACTATAGTTAATGCTAATATAGTGTGGAAAGCAGGGTTATTAAATACTTTGTAAATTCAACAGAAGGGAAGCCAACTTATTTGAAAAAGAAAAAGGTTATGCCTTAAATTTTAACCTTAAAGTCTTCCACAGTTTTTAAAAATTTGTGTGGTCTTAATTTTGACACCTACAGAATGAGCTAATATATTTAGCCTATATCTAATATGACTTTGGTTTTCCTTCTTACTCTCTTTACTGGAAGTTCTAACCACCTCTCTTATTCTATCAACCACTCTAGACTGTTTTATTTTACTTCTGTCTTTATTTCTTCTTCTTTGTCATCCGTCATCGTAAAGTCCAGGGGTTCTGGAAATGGAGAGATGGTGACTGGGAGTGGTTGGCTGTTACAAGAACCCCACAGTGGATGAGGAGTAAGCCTTCCAATACTTCTTGGGTTCCTGAATCCTGTGTCCTCCCAATTCTTTCAGGGCTGGCAAGCTTGGTTATCTTTAGCAAATGCTAGGCATGATTTCAAATGTCATATTGCATTGATTGCACAGAAATCACTCTCCCTATTACCAGAAAAGAAAAGAAAAGAGAGAGACAGAGGAGAGATGCCTTCTTATATCTGGAACCTGGCACTGTCAGCCATTTGGAACTTGCCTCCCAGACTCTGTCTGGCCTTGGCTTGGAGAAGGCAGGGTTGCTGTGTAGCACAAGGAGGTGCAAAAACAAACATGGGCACAAAACCAAATACTTGACTACAAGAAATGTTCTTAAAGTTATAAAACTGAAATACTACTTCCAGCTGTCACTTTATGCAAGAATTAAGTTGAGCTCAAGTGGCCTCAGAAACTAAATAAGAAATTGAATTATTCATTACAGTACCTATGCAAGTTGCAGAAGATGCCTGGGTTTTCTAGTGCTGGATTACTCATGATCCTTTTGTTTATTTGTCTACTTATTCACTCACTCATTCACTTGTCTTCATGTATATATTAGAAAAAATGTTGTTGCTCTTGCTAAAGGTGGATTGCAAAGCTTCATATTGTGATTTTTTCCCTCCCTGTAGCCAAGACCAACCTGCCCAGTGGTCATTCTTCCTGTGGTGCATACAAGGTGGGGCAAAAGTAGGTTTACTGTTGTGAGTACATTAAACACAGAGTTTATTTTTGTATTATTGTTTAGTATTGTATTATTTGCCATATGAACAACTATAAACCTATTTTTGCTCCACCCTGTATTGCCCCTTGTGGTGATGAACATTATCATCCAATGATCTGAGTTAGGTGCATTGACTACAATCAAGTGCACATTAAGACTTTTTGATAGACTGTGTTAGACAGATATATTCCCACCAATGTTTTCTAGACATTGATATTCATTATGCATAGCTCTTCTTCATATTATTCTACCAAACGTATTCCCGAGTGCCTCAACATCCATAAACTAATTAGATAACACATCATCATCCACACACACACATGTCCACAACCACCAGACTGCTGGGTGTCTTCCTATTGGCTCAGTTTTGCTCAATTTCCAGGCCATAAACAGCTCTGAAGCATGTGGCAGAGACACAGAAGGTGACCTAGCCACATTTTGCACTGTCCCAATCCTATATCTGGCTTTCATTTTTAATGTCTCCATTGCTGCTTAAAGTCATATAGATATGTTACTGGTTTTGAGGAGAGTGGGGTAAGAAGGATATACTTTCAGATACTGTTTAAGTATAAACATCCAAGTCTTTCTTCCTATCACCTAGCTTACTAAAATAACATCCCAACTGAAATCTAGTCTTTCTCAAACTGATTGCCTTTATTAGAATTTGATTATTCATGACTTCAGGAACTCTTAAAGCACAGGCTTCACTTATTACTGCTCTTGGAGAAACACATCCCACATGTGGACTAAAGAGCCAAAACAGGCTAATCTGACCATAAACCATGGAGCCTTCCTAAAACTGTGTAAACACTGAGAGAGGTATTTCTCAAAGTCCATGCCAGAAGGAAGGCAACATTTTTATGAAGTATGTGAACATTCATTCAAATTCAAAGCCTTCATTCAGCCTGAGGAATTTGTACTGAACGGTATGTCTCATCCTGTGCCAGCCGGCACCCAGAGTAATATTTTACAAAATTAAATATTTTTGCTAATGGTCTTGTTCCCTAACTATTTAAAAATGTTTTCTAATAAATGAAAATGTCGTCATGTCAAGAGTAATATTTTATGCCATTCAGCCATTAAAATCTTGAGCTGTACAATGAAACTCACAAACTCACCATAACTTTCGTCAGTCCAAATTAACAATCATACCATACAAGCGCCTAGAGCTACCCTTTGTCCTTTGCCTAGAGATAATGTATAGTAGGCATTAATTATGTAGACTCTTTGCAATGTGTTTCAGATTTTGCCTTGACAGTATAAAATTTATTTTAAGAAATATTTCAGGAGAAAAGTATCAAATGGTGTTGTGATGTGAGATCGCTTAAGGAGAAATCAGTTACATTTTTATCACAGAAAAGTACTGTAAGTAACTTCACACTCATGAGTCAAGAGATGTCCTCAATGAAGAGCTTACAATTGGGGAAGAGGGGATGTCTGGAATGTCCATAAAGGAAGATATCCATTTTGAGCAACAATGAGAAAAATAAAGACTAATGAGGAATTATAGAAAAAATAGTAGTCAATAAAATTTCTTTTGCACTTACTATGTGCCAGGCACTGTGCTAATTATTCTCCTGGCT